TCAGTCTGATCAGTTAGATCATACACACTGTACACATGGTACTGGTAGCCGCTTACCGAGTCGAATAAACAATATTTCGACTAACGTTAACCGATTACAGATTTCCTAACCGATTACCATCGTTTAACTGTTTACAAATTGTTTTCCATATATATATATATATATATATATATATATATATATATATATATATATATATATATATATATATATATATATATATACAGTGCAGGGAAATAATTTTGTTACAGCATCAATGCTGATTTGAATGCTTCCTTTGCTTGCTGATTTGAATGCTATATATATATATATATATATATATATATATATATATATATATATATATATATATATATATATATATATATATATATATATATATATATATATATATATATATATAATTTGTGCACCTAAGTCTTCTCAACCTTGACCATTCCGATTCAATCTTCTGATTCAAACTAAAAAATTATAATAGATCAAATCATTTTTAAGTATGGAGGATCGATGAGTTTCATACCAAATTTCAAATAAGGTTTTTATTAAGACTTACCAAATATCTGCACTTCACAAATCTCCAGTATAGGCACATATTTAGCTCTCCCACTTTTTAGTCTGATGAAACCATACATATCTTGCTGTTCCTTTACAAATAACTTGTAGAATGAACGGCAGCGTGGTATTTCCTGGATCTGCATAACAAATCTGTTGCTCACTTGGTTCGTCAGTAGTATTTGTAACACGGATATCGAAGCCACTTAACCGACTTGTCCCAGCAGAAACTACAAATGAAGATAATATTATCAGGATTCCAGTACAGGTAATATATCCGCCAAAGCTATTGTACACTAGTATTCATACACAGCTTGTTCCTATACAGTCATTCTTTAAACTAAATGGCAGAATGGTGTTTTCTAAATCATCAAAATCAAATTTCTTGAACACTCGGTTCGTCAATTGTGTTTGAAACACAGATAGTGTGGCCATTTAACGGATCTGTCCATATGGAGATTTCTACAAAATGATAAACAGCAATTAAGGTTTACCAAAGGTCATATTATGCTTTATAAAATTATGAAAAACTTCAAACTGTTCAGATTTAGTAGACATTGTGATAAATGTCCATAAAGGTCGTACTCAGTCTTCACCCTTGTTAAATTGAATATGTCGTTATGAATCGTGACATATTACCAACTCATAATTAATATCTTCCAAAATGACCAACAAGTGAAGTTGTTTTTCCAATATTTACAAGCAGAATAGAGGCAAACTCCTATATGAAATTACAATTTACAAATATTCATAGAATTAAACTAAAATTCATTGTACACATTTTAAGATCGAGGGCTGGGCTCAGATTCAATAAATAATTGATTGAAATCAAATATTTCATTCGGAAAAATTCAGGAACTTGCATTATTCAAAGCTATCTCTTTTTTTGTGGACGTTGCGAAGGACCTATTATATATATATATATATATATATATATATATATATATATATATATATATATATATATATATATATATATATATATATATATATATATGACAATTAATTTATGTGTCTGTGTGACAGGGCCATTTATGCATAAAGTAAACCTAGTTTTTTGCATATAAAGCTAGAAATTCCTCCATAGGCAAAACAAGAGAAATAAAAACATTGACGGTCACTTGAGGACCATGAAGCTTCCTTTGACATTTGTATTTGAAACAGAGAAAAAAATGAAACGCAGTGAAAATTTTTAATTGACTTAATGTTAACTAATGGATTTTCCCCTATATTATTATATAACATTCCAAAACAACTTTAATTGATAACAATAATTTAATAATTTGAATTCTATTATTTGTTTAAAGGTATCAATGGGTAGGATAAATGAAAGTGAAAGTTCTTTTTAGCTGACCTTTAAAGAAGGATTGCATATTAATAATAATGATTATACAAGTGCCTAATATTTTTTGAGAAGATCAATTTTTTTTTCATATATATATGGGAAAGTAAAACTTTGATTCCCTTTTGTGGCCCGGCCCACCCTAGTTCCTGTCAGGGCCATTATTTTGACAAACTTGATTCAAGACTCCAATGTAAAGAGAGCCTTGAAGCTCATAAAAGTTAATTTTTACTCGCTGAGTGGTTCTTGAGAAGAATGTTTTCAATGACATTTTCCCTATTTCTTATAATTATTTCCTTTGAAAGAGGGCTAATGTCTCTTCATTGAACAAATTTGAATTCCCTATACACAAGTACGTTTGGTTAAAATTTGTCCGGTGGTTCTTAAGTAAAAATATTCAAATTTAATTAAAAGTGTGCAGCTTACAGACAACACGTGGCTCGAGACAGACGGACTCAAGACAACTATAACAGAAAAGCTCGGCTGAACCTATGGCTCAGGGAGAGCTAAAATTAAATTGTACTCTGATCTAATTTTGACTTACAGTCATTTCTGTACCAAAGTTTGACTGATTCAACACTGGAGATATTAAGTAAATCTATCCTTAGCCACGTATACGTTACTGGAACACCATCAACGGAGTAATCAGTATGGGAGCATTGCTCAGTATTTTGGCCAAAGAATCCGTCCACTGCGTACCAACTATACAAGTAGACAGAATCGTAGTGATGAGTTGATCTCAAACTTGCTTGAGTAACACCAGGAATGACGAGTTGATCTGTAAAGTAATTTGATTGATGTTATTAAAAGTAAGATTGAAAACCAATTGTTACAAAATGCGTTTGCCGCAACTGAACATAAAAACCACAAACAGGAGACTAAGGCCAAAAAAAAAAATTATGTGTGGTTCCGGTTACCCGACCTTCCCTATTTTATACCCCCGACCCTAAACTTTTTTTGGCAATTTTCATATTTCTTGTTCCGTTGTGCCCCACCCCCCACCCACTGAGTTGTGCCCTTTAACTGGAATTGATTTCCAAGTGCCTGCTTTTCTACATTAAATCTTTGTAGTAATATTGAGCTTCTGTAAATATGTTTTAAGAACCCTTTTTATGCCTGACATTCACTGTAAAATTATAAACAAGTTACAAATTAATATTTTGGTAGAAAAATTGTATTTTTGAAAAATCCCCAGCTACACTCATTATCAAAAAGAAAAAAATCACGTTTTAGAATTTAATTCCAGATTATTTTGGCTACATATAAACAAATCACTAATGAAAAAATCCCCCACCCCTCCCCGACTGGCCGAGAAAACTTATCACAGTGCTTGAACTCAGAAATGAAGATTTTAGATACTGCCGGGGTCATATTTTTATATGAAATGATAATCAGTATTTCTAGTTGTGCAGACAGCATTAAAATTTTAAAATTTCGGGTATGTCAAGTTACACTAATTGTGCTAATGTAATGCACATTGAATAAACCTCTTTGATGAGGTAAAAAAAAAATGACTATGCGTTTATTTCTAATCTGTTAAACTCTACAAATTGTTCACTTATTTTTATTTCATTTATGTCGGAACTGTCAAATTAGTTAAAATAAAAAAGAAAATAAGAACATTTAAAAATAATCGTGGCATTGATGCCCCTCCACAGTTTCTCATTATCAAAATTCGACAAACGTGCAGACTGTTGCTGTTGAGGGGGACGATAAACTTGCTATTGTCCGAATAGTCAGTAAATAGGTGTTTTATTATACCGAAGCAGTCTTTACTTGTGTTACGTCACAATCTGGATAAAACCAGAAGAGTTCCGAGATAAAAAGCGAGGGAAACAGAATGCTGCCGGTGAATAGTTTAATGACTATTTCACCATGGGCAAATAGCACAAAATATTCCACGGTAGGGGCTCTTTGGAGAAAATAGCATGTTTATTCGTCATATTTTTATATAGAAAAAATTCACAGAGGTATAATAAACATGTATATGTGCTCTTGTTGTATATGTAAATAAATTAAACCTAAACATAAAATACTTTCATCTCTCAATGCCATGTTGTGAAGACTTGAGAGTTGAAATAGAGCATGTTGTGGTATTAAAACAAATTACTGTATTCAAGTGTTGCTTTCTTTGATATTTGTACTTTTATCATATATAGCGGTCACTTTTATCTGTCTGCATTATTGAGGAATAAGGGCGAGACCCCTTTACTCTAGCTGCAGAACTGTAGCTGAAAAAAGACAAAACGGAGGCAGTTCAAGTTTTTCAGACCAGTCATGAGCTACAGATCTGAAGCTACATGTACCTCTCCCCGAAAAGTTTTCAAAATCAAATAAAATTTATCTATTTAATTGATAAGACAATGTATGTTTTATTTACTTGATTATTGTGTGATACTAGATTTACCCAGAAAAAGCACATCCGGTTTCGCCCCCTGGACCCGCATTAAGAGCAAGTTACGTCCTTTGAGTTTACAATAAAAAGGAATACAACCTTAGAATTTTTGTTCTCAATAAGAAAAAAAGACACTTTTTAGCTCGAAGAAAAGAGGGGGTCATCATAACTCGCCCTCAGGACTAACACACCTCCCCGACCATCTTACTCAGGCTTCTAGATGTAAGCAAGGGGAGATCTAATAAAGTGATACTGTGTCTTTCTTTAGACTGTAGCCATGTACGAGCTCTGGGTCATCTGAAGAACGGCACATACGCATTATGGATGAATGATACAACACCCTTCAAGGTATCAATATTAAGCAATTTAAAATCAATAAAGTAAAAACTTTGTGCCTATGTTTCAATTTAAAGACTCATCATACCTCTGTTTACTGATCTAAAAAAAAAGAAGCTTATAACGCTTGTAATTTTTTTCAAAAGAAATTTAAATTAAATTGTGCACAATATAAGCATAGCCTTCGGGACAAAATTTGACAGAAATTACCTTTTTAAAATTTGATACTTCTATAAAGAATTTTGTCATTTATCCAAGCTAGAGTAATCTTTCTTATCAGAGGGTAAATAACCTTAAAATGAACACAAAAGTATACATGTACATGAAATACTATTCTCCTACCGTTATATATGTAGGTACATGTACGTTGTGAACATGGAACCTCTAACTCGGATGTATGGAACAGAAAATTTCTACCGTGGTTTCCATGACTATCAGTACGGGTTTGGTCATCCCCAGGGAGATTACTGGGCGGGGCTTAACCAAATCTACTACTTGACCACTACAGGTAAGCCGAAGTCAATGTACTCTTAGATACACTACTGCAAAAGGAATTGCGTTTTTCAGATAATCTGTTATGCCCCATCACAACAATAAGTCAAAATTAGACAGTAACATGAACCGTAAATTTTGTTGGTTTTCCTAATTTATTTCTGTAAACGTTTATTTGCACATGTTCACGCATAAACGTGTAGCATCGACAAACTGCATTTTAGTCTTAACGTTTTATATTTCGGTTCCTGTAATATATATCTGAAGGGTTTTATTGTAGTTATCAGAACTACCATCGCTTTGGCGACAAAAAAAATATGTGATTTTTTTCTCTGTCGAAATATACACAGTGTTACAACCACAGGTGATTGGGGACGGGACCTCTCTCTCCCCCCCCCCCGTCCTCCCCGTTCCGTACCCCAAAAATTCACACTCTCTGATACTTAAAGAGAAATTTTAGTATCAGAGAGTGTGAAATTTTTATAAAAGGCTAGTTTTAGGTTATATTTTGGATTTTTCAGTGACTGTTGTAATACTTTGTGCATGTTGTGAATGTGTCATAAAAAATATTTTTATTATCTAAAAGAAGTCAGAGAATACGTGGGATACGGAACGGGGGTGGGGGGTGGGGTGTCCCGTCCCCAAGCACCTGTGATAATACTCAATCACGTTCATGGCCGAGATGTTATTAAGTGCAAACAAATGCTAGAAGGTTTATGTTATGTTAATGTGTTAACATAAAAGGAAACATTTCACAAAAATATTAAAGTTTATGGTTGTCTTCGTTGAAAAGCCTTTATGACTGTTTTCAGCTGACCCGAACCGAAGGTTCAAGATTACACGTCGTGGTCGTCAGATTGCCCGTCCGTCTGTTAATTTTTCACATTTTCGACCAAACTTTGGAAAAGGGGATTCAAGGGTCACACCCTTAAAGCAGAAGTAAGCAAGAAATGGCAAAATAGGGTGGGTTTCTTTAAGTGAAAGCTTCATGACATAGTGTAGATTCAAGTTGTTTTTTTTTTTTTACCAAACAATGATCCCTGGGGTAGAGTAAAGGTACAATGGTGGATCAAAGTTTTACGGGGTAGGATGGGACCATCTTAGGGGATCATAATTTTACATGATTCTATATAGGGAAAAATCTTTAAAGACCTTAAAGATTCTCCTCTCCAGAATAGCATGCTCATGATTTGTCATATCAATATTCAAATATATTCCCAGGTAGTTCATATTCAGATTTGTTTAAATCGTGGTCCCCGGGGATAGGATGGGGCCACAATAATGGATCAGCGTTTTATGTGGGAATATATAGGAAATTACTTTTAAAAGCAGGGCAAAATTAAATCATATAGATATACAAACACTCCGAAGTTGTGTGGATTTATTATTTTTTTCAATTATGGACCGTATTGGTGCCTGGGTTTAGGTAGGGCTACCGTTGGGGGTCAAAGTTTTCATAATGCATATATACAGGGAACCAATTACTGAAAAATCTTCTGTATATATAGAACAGCAAGGTCCTGTTAGTCATATTAAGATTAAAGCACATTTTGTAGATTCAAGTTCGATTTAAATATAACCCCTTTGGACTAGACTGGGTTAAAATATGGAACGAAATTAAAGAATAGAAAATATCTGTTAAAAATATTTTGAAGAAGAACAGCAAGATCAAGGTGATTCAGGTTAGCGTTGTGGCCCATGGGCCTCTTGTAAATTTATTTATTTAAAAGGAACTACATTTATTTAAAGCTAAACAATGCAATAACTCGGAAGTAAAGTCTTTATTTTGTTTTCAAGGTAACAACATCCTAACTATCAACATGCAAGACTGGTTCGGTAACAATTGGAACGTTCGCTACAATCGCTTCCGGGTCAATGCTGCACCATATTACCAGCTTTCCATCGGGTCTTTTCAAGGTCAAGTTCCAGATGACCTTTCATTTAACAATGGCATGTATTTTGCCACCTACGACAAACTCGATGCACATAATTGCGCTGTCCATCAGAAAGGAGGGTGGTGGTACAATTATTGTACCTACGCCCTCCCCACGGGGGTTTACTACCACGGGGGACCCTACACGCCCTCTGGTGGATTTTACGACGGTATTTACTGGAGGGATTGGCAAGGATATGGATATTCTCTGAAATATTTAGCCATGACTGTTTCAAATTCATAAGGTGAACTTAAAGGCAATACTGCAGATTTTACATGCATAAGACTAGAAATAGTTGATGTAAACATTATACAGACTCATCAAAATTTAAACAGAAGAAACTCTTTGAAAACATTTTTGAGAATGCAGGATTTGTGAAAGAATTTATCAAATTAAACTACGAGTGTAAATAACGAACTTCTGGATCAATCTCGAGTGGGAAGTAAAACCTACCGTTTGGTCAATTTTATGAAGTTATTGATCAATTTTGTAAAGTTTCTGTAAAAGAACAAAAAATATTTTCAATATGATGGATATGAAGACACGATGACATAGATTTTTATTGTAATTTGTTTATTGTCATGTACAAGTACAAATAATAAACCCTACTTTTTTTAATTGGAAAAGTTGATTAACAATTTAGCCAGTATCACTAGTTTAATTAGAAGGTTATTAAATTTGTATCGGTTGATATTTGCCCGAATAAAATTTTTAAGTGCACAAGTTTGTAAGAGTATTTTAAAACCGAATGAGTGTCGTTATCCATGAATATAAATTAAAAAAATTGTAAAATATTGTTTAGATAGTTTTTATTAAAAGTGTATTATCTATCTTTTTCGTTTAAATTATCACTGAGTTGAGGCATATTTTGTCGAAATTGTGTGCGTACAAGATAGGGCCATAGATTAATTATATAAGGACTCTGCGGCTAGATGTTGGTGTGGGTGTATGGGTACCCTATAGTAATCACTGTGTCCCCGTCTGTCTGTTTTCCCGTCAACACTATCTGTAACGCGATAACCGATTCGTTATACTTTCAACGTACATGCTTTATTTGGAGAATGGCACCATATGTACTGTAGTTTTTGGGATCAGTTGGACAAAGGTAAAAAATCGAGATAGTTGTTAAAGCCATAAAGTACATGTGTCATATATATATATATATATATATATATATATATATATATATATATATATATATATATATATATATATAGAGAGAGAGAGAGAGAGAGAGAGAGAGAGAGAGAGAGAGAGAGAGAGAGAGGATATTCAATGTTTTGTAGATGAATATGGAATTTATTTCACGAGTGGGACAGGATTTTTTGATATTTTCACGAGTGCGAAGCACGAGTGAAAATATCAAAAAAACCTGTCTCACAAGTGAAATAAATTCCATATACATCTACAAAACATTGAATTTTCTGTTTATTACATTTTCTTTGATTTTCCTTTTGCCTCTGTCTTTTCTTAACACAGTGTCATAGGCTTGACGTCATAGTTGAGCGGTTGAGACGTCATAGTTTAGCATTTGTGTGAAAACATTACATAGCATGGATTTTAGCAACATATTTATGAAGAAATTTGCAATTTTAGCTCTATCAAGATGCTTAGGTACTATCTCTATCTTATGACAGGCCAGAAATTATTTTTTACTAACTTTGATATCCTTTCACACTGTGAGAGAATATCATTTTGGTATCCTTTCACACTGTGAGAGAATATCACTTTTATTCAATAAATAAATCACAGTATTTCACTGTTGAAAATGTTATATATATATATATATATATATATATATATATATATATATATATATATATATATATATATATATATATATATATATATATATATATATATATATCAGATTACAATTTTAATCAACTTAAAGTTATATGGTACATGTAGGTCTGGACAATAATCAGTCAGAAATAAAAGACCACATACAAATGTTATTGTCCCTTTAGCCATATTTATGGTAATTCTAACAAATGCAACAATTAAAATCTGTATCTCACAGGAAAGGGAAAATTTAGTTACGCAAAATGTTTTTTGGCAATCTCGAAAGCTCTATATATAGTCATAGATGAAAAACAACAATCCGTGAGTAATTCATTAAGGTGAAAATGAAAATGGTGAAGATAACGAACAGCGATCGATTTCAAAAAATTTACAAACAATACAAATCTGTGAACAGGGCATAAAACACGGGCCTCCGGAAATTCCAGAGCTGGAATCAGGTGCCTAGGAGGAGTAAGCTTCCCCTGTTGACCGGTCACACCCGCCGTGAACCCTATGTATTGATCAGATAGACGAAACATGCCGTAGTCAAATTTAGTATAACAAGCTAATTCAGAGAATTTGTGTCCCCTGCTTAAGGAAATAAGAAGATCATGCGCAGATCTAGGGAGATGTGGTGAGGGTGGGGGGTCGAACCCCCCACCCTAGATTTGCAGAATTATTAAATGTATACATGTATACCGAGGCAAATAAAAAATGCCAATATGGATATATAGATTTAATAGCTTATTCTTTAATATGTGTATAGAAGATTCTTTTTATATAGAATATTTATCACTCTGTAATAATGATTTAATAAGTTTGTACACGCCAGACGTCATAACTTCTTCATTTCATATGTTGAATACTATCATTTAGTAAAACGAAAAAAAAAACATTTGAAAAAAAAAACACGGGATCGCCCGAGATTTGAATCTGGGACCTCTCATATGCTAAGCAAGAATCATACCCCAAGACCAACGAGGCGCTATCTTGTGTTGCAAATGAAATGCAAACCTTAGGTCACATATATAATATTATGATATTGTCAAAATTTTACACAACACATGGTGTCTAATTTAGCCTTTACTAAACAGTTCTAATAGACGTAATTAGAATATAAAGTCTGTAATAACTCTCCACATGCCCCTGTGCTAAAAATAGTGCCAAGCGACTTTTAATACAATTTAAGCTTTCGCAATGAAATTTTGCATAGCAACCCCCTATGGCCTAAGGAAGACCCCTATTGATTTAGAGGTCAAAAGGTCAAGGTCATAAATTCATAAATTCTGTCTGTGTGTAACACTTTCGTTTTCGGGCGATATCTCAAGAGGCTTTTGAGCTTTTGCAATGAAATTTTATATCATAACTCCCTAGGGCATCTATCGCCCATCTCAAAGTGTCCCGCCCCGTTTTTTGTTGCTTTGTTTGTTTGCTTTTTTTTGTTTTGTTTGTTTTGTTTGTTTTTTTTTCGATGCAGACTCAGCGACAACACATGGAGAATGGGAACAAGAATTTGGAGATTACTTTGGCGACTTGACCATTGAAGTTCCAGACAATTAAATTGAGGTGTTTTTAAATGGAGTTCGATCCTAAAAATATGCATGCAAAACTTTCTCAATGTAAAGCGTGGGGAATACAATGTAACCTTGAGTTAAGCCAATCCTTAGAAGATCAATTTTAGTCAAAAATTGAAGACGCAGACGAATATGACATTAAACTCACTGTCATTGATCCACATAAGATATATACATTTCAAGAAACTCTAAAACAATGGATATCATCCCAAAGTTGAAGAAAAAGACTATAAATTTGTTTTTGACAAACGGGTAGTACACGGACATGTATCTGTATCGTACAGCTTGTAGATATAATTAATTTAGCTTTCAAGTTTATGTGTATACAAATAATACCAAATTATTTTGTGACTGTAAAATAACTGAATAACGGTTAATATTATAATTATTATATTCTTTTTTCTCAATTTTTTTAAAAACTTATTTTTCTTTTTGAAAAGATGAAGTTGGAACGCCCCACACACCCCAATTATACCCCCCCCCCCCCGAAAGACAATAGTATGTCCCTCAAATTTTACCATAAACAATACGCTAGAGGAATATATTATTTGACATGTGCATCTTTGTTTGGTCCATTCTCCTTTCTGCCTTACATGACTTTACAATTTAGCCCAAGTACAAAGAAACTGTTGAAGATATAATTGTCAGTCATCATTCACTGATTAAAATTGATAATCACAATCAAACATTTTAAGATTTTGTGATGTTGGCCTTCCCCATTCAGGCACAAATCCAGGAATTGTGGTAGGAGAGGAACTATTAGGTGGAAAGCGGTCTGTGGACTGCCAACGTTCTTAGTGGGTACAGGACACTGTCCTGTGGGGGTGCCTACGAGATCAAACTTCCCGTAAGCTTTTGAAATTCAATAAACAGTAAACCTCATTTTAACTCAAAAAACAAAGAATACAAGTGTAAATTTACCTTTAGTACATTATATATGACAGTGAAACTATATCTGAAATATATTTCTTTGGTTTTAGTGTGGGCACGCACGGGGAGTGCCCCCGCCTGATTCCACTCCTGTCATTGCATTGTTATTACAATTCCTAATGTTGATTATTTTCATTGATCTGACATTGACGCGGACCTCACAATATCCTGATTTCGCTCTCCCTGCAGTTTTAGTCAGATTCCAATGAAACTTGGTACACAAGTAAACTAAATAAGAACCATTTTATCTAGTGGTGTTGCCATCACAGAAATTGAGTCGAGGGACTATTTTCTCTGTTTTTTTAATTACAATTACAAACTGGTGGAACAATTGTCTTATTAAATACATCTTGTATTTTGACTTAAGTTGAAATAAAATATATGGAGATAACGAACAGTATTCAAGCTCAAAAGTCAATTTAAATAATACAAATCAGGAGCAGAGCAAACACGGACCTCTAAAACATCAGAGGTGGGATCAGGTGCCATGGAGGAGTTAGCATCCCCTGCCGACCGGTCCCACCCGCCGTGTGCTCCTTGTCATGATCGGGAAATAGCGGAAATCCGTCGACAATTCAGTGGGTAAATAATGGCCTGACAATTAGTATGAAAAACGTGAGTCAGCATTTGACTTACTGATAGATTGTATTTGCTGGCAAGGTCATTGTATCGACCATAGAACTTACGAAATGATGACTTTAAACGAGACTGTTGTTATCCTTGTTTCATCAGCTTGTTGGTTAATAACTTACCCCGTTTTAGAAATTGTTCATACTTAGAGCATGCTCTTGCGTATCGAATCATCTGAGAGAAAAAAAAAACATATCTAAAGTTATATTAAAGAATACTGGAAAAATCTTGCAGCCATACAAGGAAATTTTGAATTGTTTATTAACTTTATTAAATACAATTTCATCAAGATCCGTTTTTATCAGAACGGCTGATTTTGTTCTTCTATGATTTTCAAGGGTTTGTTTGAAACAAAATGGCCCAACAACATGTGGTCACAGAGGGTTAGTCCGTTTTATAAAACAACGGAGACATATCAACCTTAATTTTTTTTAAACTTATTAGAATCCTACACTCTTGAAATATTTCGTTGAGAGCCTACACTCTTGAAATATTTCGTTAATAAAAATACCCTGACTATGATTAAAAGTGTTTTGGTGGTATTTTACAAACGTATCTTTTGAACTTAAAGCAAGCATAGTAAGGCCCACCTCATGAGCAGATGAGGGGCCCATCTTGTATACACACCAATAAATTTCACTGAATTTTATTTCATTTGAGATTTGATCTAAAAAAACAGTTCATCTATGTTCCTTTGTTTACTATATGGGACCGCAGGAGTGGTTGTAAATATGTCTGCATATTTCATGAATATGAATATAATTCAAAGGTTGTTTCTTAATTCCTTTTATTGATGGGTTAAATTTCGTGACTAAAGCATTCGATATGGCATTTTTATCATT